GAGGAGGAGGAGCAGGAGGAGGAGGGGGACGATGAGGACGAGGAGGACCAGGAACAGGTGGAGGAGGAAGAGGAGGAGGAAGAGGAGGTGGAGGAGGAGAAGAGCAGGAGGAAGGAAAGCAGGTCGAAGAGGAGGAGGACGAGGAGGAAGACGAGGAGGATGAGGAAAGGAGATGGGAACAGGGGGAGGAGGAAGACACGGAGGAGAAGAAGGAGAAGGAAGACGAGAAGGATGAGGAGGAGGCGGAAGCGGAGGATGAGGAGGATGAGGAGGATGAGGAGGGAGAGGGAAGGAGGAGGAGGAGGAGGAGGAGGAGGAGGAGGAGGAGGAGGAGGAGGAGGAGGAGGCGGAGGACGGAGGCGGGGCGGAGGCGGAGGCGGAGGCGGTGGGAGGCGGAGGCGAGAGGAGGAGGAGGAGTAGGTGGCGGAGGAGGAGGAGGAGGAGGCGGAGGCGGAGGCGAAGGCGGAGGAGGAGGAGGCGGAGGAGGAGGAGGAGGAGATGGAGGGGGAGGAGGAGTAGGAGGAGGAGGAGGAGGAGGTGGAGGAGGAGGAGGAGGCAGACGAGGAGGAGTCCGGCACCCGCTGGGGAATCGATCGCATTTCAACATGCATCAAGACAGCGGCGGCACATCGGCCTCAAAGAGGTCGCCGCCTGGGGCCAAGGACGCCCCACAGGTCGGGGTTAAAACTCAAACGAATCCACTTCGAGTTCGGCTCGAGCCGCACGGTTCCTGCGCTCCACAGCACGGGCACCGAGGGCCTCGGCCGTAGCCCGATCCGGGAAGCCGAAAAACGCCAACCCCCTCGCCAAGTCCACCCCCAACCCAGTAGGAGCCGTCGGCGCCAAGCGCTCGGCAGGCGGCCGTGCAAGGGCGGGCTGCTGCTCCAGCCCCATCTTGGGTGCCAGCCAGGCCCTCGATGCCTCCGAAATCACAGTCGGCCTGTCGACACGGAAGCCTTTGCGAGACGGATGGTCCCCGCGCAAAACCCAAGTCAATTGCCTGTCATGACCTGCGGAGCACGCGTGCAGGCAATCCGTGGCTCAAGCCAGATCGTGGCTCAAGGCTCTCTCCGCTCTCTCCGCTCTCGCCTTCTTCCCATGGCGGCGCGCTGCCGGGTTTGCATGGCCCGCGGAGTGGACAGCCTCGCCCTGCCGGGCGAGGACGTCTGCGCGGCGCACCGGCCGTTCGGCATGGACTCCGCCGGGGTGGCGGCCGCGGACCCAGCCGCCGCTGCTCCAGCTGCCGTGGCGGAGAGCATGGACACTGACGACGACACGGAGGGGTCAGGCCCTCACCCAGGCTGCAGAGGCGCTGCAGCTGGCTGGAGCCCCGGTTGCACCTGGACTTGATCCCCAGCAGCTGCCGGAGCGCACCCCGCCGGCATCGCCGCTGCTGCTGCCGCCTCGCCTGCCGCGCTGCCGTCCGCAGGTCAGCAGTCTGGTTCTCCCCAGCTCCTCCTATCCGTGCACGACTTCCAGGAGCTCCTTGAGGCGGAGGCCCTCCAGTACGTCGAGCTCGTCCAGGCGGGCAGGACGGCTTCCGAACAGCATCGTGCCGCAGTGTCCTTCCCGGGAACTTGGCCGGACCTCAAGGCGATCCTGGGCAAGCTCGCCTACAGGCTGGACGACTCTGATCCTTGGGCGCAGCTGGGCTTCGGACCACTATGCGGCCCAGAACCTACGGAACGCGACATCCTGGCGAGGGCCCGTACTGCCCACCTCCTCTTGAGCCTCGGGGAAAGTGAGGCCTGGGCCGAGGCGGACCGGGTCCTGGCCAACCAGGCGGACGTGATGATCTCGGCGGCGGCAGCGCACTGCGAGGCTTGCCTGCCCGACGTCCGCATGGCTCGACGGCAGCTCCGCCCCGACCGCCTCCCGCAGTGGAAGGAGCTGGGAGGGGATGCGTTAGCAGCTATCCGGGCCCTGCCGGGCGCGGAAGGGCACGACTTCCTCACGCAATGGTCACAGGTCCTCGACCCGCGGGGCCGCCACGCCCCCACAGTCGAGCGTCACCGTCGGCTGTCGGACCTCCTGGAGAAGGGCGACGCCCGCTTCCTCCAGGAGATGAGGGGTCAGCAATTGTTGGCCTGGGCGCCCGCCGACACTGGGGCGTTGCAGCGGATCTTGTCACAGTTTCTGCGACGTGCCTCCACGGAGGCACCGACATCGATGTTGCTGATCGCGCCACTTCCCTCCTTTCCCTGGGGCGGCTACGATGACACAGATACTCGACTTGTGGCACCACTTCCTCTGCTCGGGGAGAAGCTCGGGGAGAAGCACGCGGCGATCGTCCAGGCCATCCATCTTCTCCCGCAGCCGTTGGAGTACATCCTCCCCGGACTGCGTGGACCTCGCCATGTTCGGCAAGGATTGGCTTGCTTCCGCATCGCGCGCACGGGCCCGCGGAGCCCCCCGGCGATTGTCTTATCTCGGACCCCACTCCTGAAGACTACTGGCTCCGACAGTGTCACCATCGACACTCCGTTGAACCTCCTGCCGACCCTCATGTCCAAGTTGGCCACCTTGGAGGAGTTCCGGAGCAGTCCGATTCGAGACCCCACGCGTAGCATTGGCAGCACGAACGAGTCTCCCCGGACATCCGTGGAGCTACTCCTCCCACCAGCCCTATCGCGGTTTGGCAAGGAGCTCCTGGTCCGCAGGCTGCAGCGGTCGGTGCTTTCGCAAGGGATGCTTATCGGCCATCGGAGCTTGTACGTGGCAGAGGACGCCATGATCCTCGAGTGTTTCTCACCTGCGGTGATGCTGAAGGCCTGGCCGCTTTGCTCGGAGGCCCTTTTCCTCACCCCGAACAAGCTCCTGGTGCGCACTGACGCTTCCGCAGAAACTTGGACTCAGTTGATGGACGGGCTCTGCCGAGAGGGGGAGCTTAGTCTCATCACGAAACTCCGTTGGAAGTCGAGCCGGTTTGGCGGGAGACCCTATGCCCTCCCATCTGCTACCTCCGCGGCATTGGCAGCCTCGTGCCGCCGCAAAGGTAAGACCAAGGGGGCGCCCCAGGCCGCGGACTACATGACCGCGATACGCATCAATGGCGACCCAGGGCTCCAGGAGAAGGCCATCTTTGACAACCTCATGCGCCACGTCATGCAGAGCACGGGTATCAATCTGAAGGCCTTTGA